AAGGGAAGGGGTTGCTGTAGCGTCCCGGAGGGAACGTGAGACGGGGGGTGCTGGGGGCTGCTGGCCGCCAAGGGTTCTGCTGATTGCAGCTCCGCCGGCTGTCTTTACGCTGCAAAAGTTTACCCCAGAATTTAATTCAAAACCAGATGGGGAATTCCTTGTGTAAAAGCAATAAGCGCGCTGTCAAGATACCACAAGCTCCAGTCTGCCGAGATCGTACTTGCTGAATGAGTGCGACAGAGGAGGGAGTTTTAAATTGTGAAGGGCTGTCACAGGAGAGCTGTATTGATTTCTCCCCAAAATTTGTGTTTGCTTCAGTTTTCAATTTTTGACACGTGTCATCGTGAACTACAAGACAGATTGCATTTGAGGAGGGAGTGTTTCCCCTTACGTGACGTTAGTGTCCTATTTCACAGAAATTGTCGTGCAGCGGTTTGACTTGTAGTACCTCTACGGTGCAAAACAGAGGGATTAAGGAAACTAAGCCAGGAAAAAAAGAAAATCGTCCTATGCACTGTTGCTCTGTATCCATTGTTAGAGTGGAAGTGTTTTTCCTTCACTTTCTCAGTTAGCCCACGCAGTGTTAGTTGGTGTATTGGCAAGAACTATTCAGTGGCAGAGCACGAGCGAGCAGTGGTGAGCGCGATGGGACCTGACAAACTGACTATTGTTTTGTATTTGCACGTAGAGGAAGCAAAGGGCAGAAAGTTTGCATACTCCCTGGTGTGGGTGTCTTGGAGCAGCAGGTTTGTTTAAAAACGCTGTGGGAAGGTTTAGGGACAGCGGTGTGGTCACCACCAACCAGTCTAGTGTTACCTGTCTGTTTCCAGGCTTTAGCTGTGTCAGTCCTGCATGTGGTTGTCCGGTGATGTAGCCTGGAATATATGAAGGACAGGATCTGTCACATCAGGATTTCCACCTAGCAGCACGGTGAGCCTGTCTCCTAGACCCCTGGGTCTGTGGTACCACGGTCTTTGACCCCAGTGTCGATACAGACCCCAGAAGGGGATGGTGAATGGAATCCCGGGCAAACAGTTTGAGTTCACTCGAGCCGAGATCGTCCGTGCTGCCAGCCCGTTTGTACACACTCTCAGGAATCCAGCCAGGCCTTTTGCCTTCCCTAGCTGTTATTTCCAGACATGTTCCTTCTACTTCATTATCATATGCTTGAATCAGACTGGGAACAGGCTAGATCCCAGCACCGGGGCATGGGATGTCGCACGTGCACGCACAGACAAGCATAGGTGTGTTCCCGCAGTGCTCTCCGAGCACTAGAGACATACTGTGTCTCGGGTTGATTAAACAAGTGCGTGTAGTAGAAAAGAGAGAAAAAAGCTGCTGTTAATTTTAAAAAAGGAAACAAGTAGCGTTTTCATTCTCACCAGGAAAGGCAATTTTGAAGTTAAACACCTCATTGGTGGTGATAATACTGTGCATTTAATTTTCAACGTCGGAAGAAAAGAGATGGTTGTGTTCCCACTAGGGAAGAAACTTCTAAATGCCACATTGATAGTAGTGGTGTTAGAGTCATTTGGGGCTTGATAATAGCTTCTTTTGGCAAGATACAGCTGAAATCTCAAGGTGAATCATGCCAGTGTCTATAATCACAGGATTGCACCTGCACTTCCTGTATAATAAAGGAAGTTTATTTCTGCCTTCGTAAACCAGTGAATTATTATTTCTTCAAAGTCAAGTCCCGCTGAAACACAGAGGGCAGTGGCCCCACTGAGTTCGATTATGTTCTGTGCAGTTAAGGTTAATATATAGTGACACTCTTTATTCAGCTTAATATGAGAAGTGTGCCCTTAACATCCCAACAACGGGAAGATAAAGCTCAGAGTTATTGCCGCAGAAAGGCAGTGGCAGTGGGATCTTACTGGCCCGTCGCAATAAATCCTCTGAGCACCGCTTGTAGGTCGGTCCCTGCTGTAATTAGTAAATACACACTCGAGAGCCCTGGCTGGAGTTCATGAGAAACGCAGCTCGAGGAAGGGTGAGGAGGAGGCATTTTGCTGTTCTCTAAGATAATGTACGTGTTCTGGTGGAGCAGATCGTTGAAGGTCTCCTAGCCAGGCAAGGGACAGCACTTCCAGGGAGACGTGTCTGCGTGTGCCAAGGTAGCCAGTCGTTACTGTTCAGCAAGCTAATCCTTGGAATAAAAGAAAATGCTTGCTAAAAGAGCATTAATGAGTGTGTAGGCTTGCCAATGGAAGGGAAGTTAGGGAAAATCTGTGTTTTTATTTCACCACAGTTATGCAACTGTTGTTACGCTACTGTAAGCAGCTCTGGATTACAAAATCATCCACTCTTCTGAGATTTCCCAACTGAGGAAAACATATTGTGTAATTGCAATGGATAAAACTAAAGGTAAAAATGAAGAGCTTCATTGATGATAATTTTCCTTTACATGTGCGTGCTCTTATTACTAGCTTAAATACTATTTTGCATTTAGTAGTATGTTATACTTGAAATACATAACAATGTCTACAATAGGGTTGTCAGTCTTTTCCTTGAAATGAGTTTGTTAAGCTTTAACCACAGCTAAAGGTAGTGTACCACTTGCTATATTTTGCTTGCTGAACCATGCCATACCATTTACTAAACGTCAGTGGCTTGGCGTGAAATTTTCCATGCTGAGGGTGGGAATTTAGGATGACTTTACTGCTACCAGACATGATCTAAACAAAGGCAGGAAAAAAAGGGCTTTGTCTAGAATAAAATATTGTGGAGATGTTATCTCTGAAGTCCTTAAATGCCTTTATGCTCTAGAGCAGACTTGGAATTTGCCGTGAAAAACTGAATTGTGAGGGGGGTGTCTGAGCTTCTGATTACACTTAGCATAATTTATAAGCCTTTGAAGAAATAAATTTACCAGATTCCTGACTTAGCATGTGCTCCCACCCTCCTTGCTGCTACCCAAGTTGTGGGCTGCAGGGCCTGAAAGAGTCCTGTCTTTGCCACTATGTGCTGGGGGTGTCTCTGGACGGAGGGTGAGGCTGTGGAGACCATCCCCTGCACTCCCCAAAAGCTGCCGTTGTCTCCTCTGCACAGGTGCTTGCGCGTGATGGTGAGGGGACACGGACCCGACTGAGGGGAGGGAAGCAGTGAGCGTGGAGGCGGGACATATGCTGGGACTGAAACTACGAGGGGATAGAAAGGCTTAACCGGAGAGTAATAGGGATAGGATACTGGGATTAGGTGAGGAAGGAAATTAAATACTCAAGGAGAAATGAAGGAGAAGTTCAAGGCAAGAGGACATGTATGTATTGATGAAGAACTGGAGGGGGACTGTATGCCAGGAGCCTAGGACCAAGAGAACCGAGAGAGGATTGATGTGGAAGTCAGTGAGGAAACCAGAAGAGTGAGAGCACATTGGCAGAGCAGGCAAAATCAAACAGAATCAGGTCTTGACTCTGAGCAAAGGGACAAGCTGTGATGGGAAGGGAAGCATTGACAGAGGAACCACTGGGATTTGAACAGAGACTTTGAGAAAGGAAAGTTAAAACTCAGAGAGCACAGAGACATTAGCATTTCAATGGCTTTTTCCATTGCAGTAGACATCTGCTAGGGTAAGACGAAGAAAATATTCTGCCGTTCTAATTTAGTATAAGATATTTTCATGTCTTTTCTGTGTGCTGTGAAGGAACAAAAGAAGTAGAAATCCATTTGTTTGCAGAAATCTGTCTTGCAAGCCACCCTTAAAGAGTTTTTAGGTGGGAAGCCTTAGGCCTTTGGCAGGCAGCTCTACCCTAAAGTTGGAAAAAGCAAGAAAACCGCCTTAGGAATCTTAATGCAAATATTGGCACGAGTTCATTGTAATTCAAGAGGATTCAGGAAAGCACTAAAAGGACAAGGAGGTCTTACCTGAAAAAAAGGATCTATTATGAGGCTATAACATACTGAACTTTTGTTTGTATGTGTGTGTGCATGTGTATGTATACAACACACATGCATGTCTACACACGCATATGTAATACAATATAGATATGTGTGAATATGTTTTAAAAATACTTGTATTATTGAGAGTGTATGTACCTATACCCCTACTCCTTCAGTCAAACTATCATGCCTTGAAGGAAAAGAAAAATTGCAACTAATATTTTATTGGCTTGGGTTGTGGGTAGGCACATTACACAAATGGATGCTATTAAATCTTTATACCATGCTGTACCAGAATGAATTTTGTATGTGCTACATATTTTGCAGACACAAATAACTATTTTAGAAATTATGTAAGGAGCTTTCCTGAGACTCCAGGCAACAATGTCAGATCTAATTTGAATTATTGCTATTGAAAATCATGGTTCTGTTTTTCATTATTGTTATACCAATATCCCTGACAACCTGCAATTTACCTGGTGTGAACAGCACCTCCCGAAAATGCAGAGCTGTTTTGTGTGCTGTGGTATTTTTGTGTATCCTCCCTGTGCACAGGCATGATATTTCACAGGAATTCCACTGGATGGCACTGAAGGAGATAAGATTTGCAATAAAATGTCTGCAGAAGTTGAGTATAACTCCAAAAAGTGAGAGTAGCTTACTTTTTCATTCCATTACTGAAATAGACAAATGTGGACTCATTTTCCATCCTGATGTAATAATTTGTCGTCAAAACCAACTCTTAAACACTCCTAGCTGTAGTTCTAGTTTTTGACAGTAGCAGAATTACAGCAGAGGCAGAGACAGGGCTTCTGAATCTGAATACTGCTTCTCCCCTCAAAAAGGTAAGGGACAAAAGATGCAGCTTTGGCCCATTCTGGATTCTTATGTGAAGGTTTGCAAAACATCTGAATAATTTTAGGTGCCTGCCCTCCATGGCAGTGCTGTCAATACTGGCCACTTCTGCCATCATGAGCAAGTGCAAGTATGTTAGCTTTTACGCTCATTTCAAAAAAAAAAAAAGAAATAAGTAGGAATTCATTCAGAATTAAAAGCTTCCACCTGTTGAGGAAATGTATAGTGTTTCAGAGAACCTCCCGACTTGAAACTCCATCTGCAGTCCCCACACAAGCACCCCTTTTTTCGCCTGGGCAGGGAGTTTGTGCCTCATTTGAAAAAAAAAAAAAAGAAATAAGTAGGAATTCATTCAGAATTAAAAGCTTCCACCTGTTGAGGAAATGTATAGTGTTTCAGAGAACCTCCCGACTTGAAACTCCATCTGCAGTCCCCACACAAGCACCCCTTTTTTCGCCTGGGCAGGGAGTTTGTGCCTCTGTCCAGAAAGCACACAATCACTTTCTGTCCATTGCACCTATAACCTGGGAGTCATCTTTGCTGTCTTTTTTGACCTGTTTATCTTCATGTGTATGAATTTTGTTTCCTTTTCTTCTCTAAAGTTGCCTCTTATCTCTGTCCACATCACAGATATGCTTTTTTTAGGCTTTTGTTATCTCTGCTTCTGCTTATGACAGCTTTTTCCCTAAAAATACAACTGACCTGACCTGTCAAAAGGGTCCCTTGAAACACCATTCTTGCGCTTATCTCCCTGGCCTATTTCTGTGGCTCCTTTCTGTACTTACCTCTTTAGCGTGTCTCCATAGATTTCCCTGTCTCCGCAAGCCCTCTAGCCCTCTGAGAGTGCAGTTTGACAATTTTTCTGGCAGCTGTGCTGGCCTAAGCCAGTCTCAGCTCCCAGCCATTCGTTCCTCTCTGATACACCCCCTAATGCTGGCGCAGTTGTTTTGTTCAGCTGTGTGGTAAACCAGATTAGGAACTTGGTTTGGCTGAAAAGCAGCGTGGGGGAGGGAGGAGAGGCACCTTTTTCAACCAGCTTGTTTCTCCGAGATGGTCCGTCAGGCAGCACTTGTGCTGGTGCAGCTGAGGGCTTAGGTCTGGGGCAGAGACGAGCGGTGAGAGACGTGGGGTTGCAGAGCAGCAGTGGCTTATGCTGGTTGGTAGCTGTCGAGCCGTGACCTGATTTGGATGATAGGGCTAAGCCAAGCTGGTAGCTAGCTGCTGCTGCTGAAAGGGTAGTGCTGCGCCTCCTTGCTCACCCCTCCTCGTGGGCTGGTTCCTGGCACTTGTGCCAGCACCGGTGCTCATCTCACCCCGGCGAGCCAGCCTTGGGAGCTAAGCCGGCACAGAAGCATTCACGTCTTGCAAGGGTTTGCCTGGTTGTTCTGCCGAGTGCCCGTGGAGCCCACCCGCTCAGCAGCAGCTGGGTGCTCTGTCAGCTCGGCTGCGTTCTCAGTTGTACCACAGCACTTCACAACTTTGCCTTTTCCTGTCATCTGCTGTCCTCTCTCAGTCTCTGTATCTACTCCATCTGCTTTTCTTGTAGCGGTGTTAATGATGTCCTTCTGGTCACCCTCAACATACGGAATCCCCTCCCTGAAGCAGTCGCTGCAGCCTTCAAATCTCTCAAGATTTCTTCTACCATGACACACATGTTAAACTGCCAGCTGATAGTGCCCACCTTAGTTACTTGGATTTCACTACTACGCTGCATGTGTCCATGTATTAGCTTGAAATGGGCATACTCTTTGAGTTTATTTGAGAAGCTAAAAGGGATTAGACTTGCACAGAATCCTTTTTTTGGAAAACAGAAATTCCCAAAGCTATGCCTTGAAGGAGATGTACTTCCCTAAGGTCATATATAAATACAAGAGGCTGGTTTTCTGTTGCTTCACACCTTGGATCATCATTCATGCTTGTGCAAATGGACACAGCATTGCTACTAAGCAGTTTACAGTAGGATCTTACAGAATTGTAAATTAGTGCCCCAGAGACAAGGTAGCAGAGAGTCAGCACTTACGTGAGCAGCTGAGCATAAGGACTTAGGGATTTCTTTTCACCTAGTTGTTTTCATTATTTGGGTTCTTTTCAGGCACATACAGAAGCATATCCTAAACATATTTTATCCTGGTGTTTTGGTATGCTAAGTATTTCTTATCCTATTCAGTTAAACAGAAAATGTATGGAAAATCAGCAGTGAGTGAAGCTTCACACTGCCTTGGAAGCAATAAAGTGAAATTATTTGTGTTTGCTATTTAAAAAAGAACATGACAGAGGGCACCTCTACACCATGCAACAGAGCACACACTCATCAAGTTACTTGCAGAATAGGAAGCAGCAGCTCTAGACTCGCATGTGTGTGCTGCTGCACCCGAAGTACTTAACCCTGTTGGTAGGTGGTGCTAATTAGGTTGGACACGGTGCTAATTAGGTTAGCTACAACACTGTGGTCATGCAAATAACACGGTGCCTGTGACTCTGGCTCAGACCTGGCTGGAGGATTCCGCACATAGTGCTGCATCAAGCCATATGTGCGTGTCCAGAGAGAGAAATCGTTTGCCCGTGGCCTCTTGTTCACGATGCCTGTCGGGCTTAGCCGCAGTAGCAGATGCATTTGCCACATACAGGTGTCGGATGTGGCTTTGTGCCAGGGATTACCTCCCTCTTGGTAAAAACAGAAGATGCCCTTTTAAGTGTGTATTTCAGGCTGTGAGTTGTTGCTGTGGGATAATGGTCGTCCAATGTAGCTGCTTCTTAAAACTGTTCTGTTTTACATCTTAATTAAGACAGTGAGTACTGACAGAGGAGCAGGGAAGATGAGTATCGTAATTTTTTCAGCCACCATAACTTTACAGAAATTGTGAATCTGCTGCGAGGTCATGGAAGCAGACAGCAGTATGGCAAAGAGCAAAGCACAGTCTCCTCTGGTACATTTATCAGGAGACCTACGTTCCCCCTTCAGTGAGACAAAGCAATGTTTCAGGTTAGAGATACGATCGTGACTACAGTGTAAATTCTGACTGTGTAACAGGGTGGCAAGTGTATTCCCAAAGCACTACCAGCAGAATTGCTGTCTACTCAAAGAACTGATTAATATATCCCTAAACATAGCATTCTTTCAAAATAATTCGAAGATTCAGGTTGATGTTTGTAGGAAGGCTGGTGCTTATTAGCAAGAAAAAGGTGAACTGAAGAAGCAAACAAAACCATTCAAGAGGCAGTGTTCAGAATGAGCTGTGGGATGGGAGGTAATAGAACATCCTTCTCCTCTTGTGTATTTTTTAAAGGATCTCAAGTAGTCATTTTGGCAACTTCTCTCTGTTATTTCATTTCCATTTGACAGACAGATGAGATAGAGATTTTATTAGAATGTAGTGAACCATCCATAATTAGCCCATGGCAAGTCAGCGAGGAACTATGCAGCATTAATATGCTTGGGCATAATGGATTAAGATTTGACACCAGTGAAATTATGAAAATGATGAAAATTAATAGCTTCTTGATATTGGAATGGTTGTTCCTGGCGTTTTGTAAATTGTTTAATGTCACGGGGAGGGATCCAGTTCCCTGAAGAGTTGAGCAATGATTGTAAACTTTTATAATGTCATCAACCTATTTTTTTTTATCCAAGGTATGACAGTGGTAGTGAGAGCATGATAGCAGGAACATAGATTTTAAAAACTAATATTGCGAAATGAAAGACAGACACAGAGTAAGTAGTCAAGAAAACAAAGTTGGGTATTTTTTTCTTTTTCTTTAATCCTTTTTTGATACTATCTTCAATTAGTTTTCTTTTCTACTGTGTCTGCCAGGAAAATTTATGCATGCACAGCTAGATATCTCTAACCTATAAAGTCATGCTACTTAGCAAAATGCTTTTGAAGAGAGACACACAAAAGCCAACATTATCCATGAAAGTTATGTAAATATTTATAGGCAGTATATGTTTGGGGGCTTTTTTGGTTTGGTTTTTTTTTTTTTTTTTAAATTTAAAAAAATCCATCTGCTCCTAGCAGATGAGAAATATTTATATCAAATTGGTGCCTGGGATACGAGGGTGCTGTTTCTTCCAGAAGGGACATTATAAATTTGACACTGTAGGCCCAGCCTTAGTTCCCCAACTCAAACAGTGTAGCAGGCACTCTGATGGGGTTCATTCATAGACGTGTATGAAATGGCTTGCTGGCTGGAAGGCTCTAATCAACCTTAGTCATCATTTTGCCTAAGTTTCTTCCAGAGTTTTCCTAGAAGCTGGGCTGAAGTATGTCTCCTGGGGAAATACCTCATTTTGCCTTAAAAGACTCCAAGCAGTGGTCAACTCTACCACCTCCCCTCGTAAGTTGTTCCCAGTGTTTAAATTACCCCCATTGCTAAGAAATTGCATCTTATTTCAATCCTGAATTTGTCTAACTCTAGTTGCCAGTCATTAGATCTTGTTATGTTTCTGTCTGCATGATTGAACGGCCCCCCCTGCTATCACGTATCTTTTCCATATGTATATATATGTGCACAGTGAGCCAGTCACCACTCTTCTTGGATACATTTAATAGATTTCTTAAACCTGATACCCTAGAGACTGTTTTTCAACCTCTGGATCATTTTTGCTGCCCTCTGATTTTTTTCTAGGGTTTACATATCCTTCTTGAACCATGGGCACTGTTTTTTTCTGATGCTCTGTGTAGAGCAAGGTCACATCCTAATAGTTATTTTCTTTTTTCATACAGCTGATAAACAGTTATCATGTATTGCAGCTGACATTTGCTAGATACATTGTGTGTATTGATAGATTGGTAGATACAGTCCCTAGAACTGTGGAGGTGTGACACTTGCACTCGGAATGTGTGCTCGCATTACCCTAATGTGTGCTGCAAATTAAAGGAACAATGCCTGCCAGACCTTCTGTCACATTATGTCCCTTTTTACTGATCCATAAATCCTACTAATACATATAAATTGTAATCCCACTTTTTCTAAATAAAGAGTGAAAGGCTACATTGTAAAGAGTGAATTTTGTCCTTTCTGTAGGAGAGGTCCTGCACTAGGAAGAGAAGCAGAGGAGCTATTCTATTGCTGTGCTCAGAGCAGAAGAAATAAAGGAGGAATAAGGGCAAAGAAGCACTGAGAGAGTGCAGTGGCAGTCTTCTGAGAAGGCGCTGAGTGACTGCTTTCTTGGGCAGAAGGAGAGTGGAAATAACACCCACTTGGGAGATTTCCGCAAGAAGAGCTGAAATTTAACAGAGCTGGCTGGCTTGAGTCCGGACACATGAAAAGCTGGTAGGAGAAACATTGTCATTAATAGCTTGTGAAGGTTTAAAATGCACTTCTTAATATAGTTCATTTAGCACTTGTACAAAAACTGCTATGAGTGCTGGTGTATGGCTTTTAATTCCTGTAATGGGGAATTATAAAATCACAGAAATGTTGTTTGGGAGGGACGTCTGGAAGTCATCTAGTCCAGCTCTATATTTGAAGCAGGCGATCACCAACACTGGCTCGGGAATGGGTCTCCTTAGGTCATCTGAAAATTTTGTCCACAACTCCTTATCCACTGTATCTATCCGCTTTTTCTTGTTCTGCCATCATGCAGGCAAATCTTGTTCACCTCTGATGTGAACTTGATGAGGGAACACCCCTGCCTGGAAAAAAATGATGCTTTATTTTTCTCCAGACCTCTTGAGTTTGATTAGGTCCTTGATCCTGTCCATCACAAGGCTGTATGACTATGGATGCTGGCATACAAATGGTACAGGAGCAGATATGAGCATCCAAAGGGAGCAGCTTATGCAGCACAGCTTTGCCATGCAACCACACAACTGTAGCAGTTTGCCAGTCCAAAAAAGTGAGGTTGTTCTACTTCTCCCTCACCTCTTTGTCCATGCATTTCCACTTTTCTGGTGGCCATGGCAAGCTGAGCTAGAGGACAGCAAACCTCACCATAAAAAGTGAGTAGTTCTTGAATGGTTTGTGGAGTAGCAGCGCTAGTTGGGGCAGACTTGGATGGAACCACTCCTGCCAGTGGCAGGGTGGCCATTTGTTGGGTTTTGTTCAATGAAAAAAAAGGGAGTACTGGGTTAACCCCCCCCCTGCCAGTGGCAGCTAGCCATTTGGTTGGCTTTGCTGCAATGACAAATTTCATCTCTGGAGTGCAGTTCCATAGCAGTGTATCCTTATCTAAGTTAGAGCTACCATGGTCCCTCTTGGTATTTGTGCAGCTGAGCGGTAGGTTGGTCCAGCGAGCTCTGCAGCCAAGAACTAAGCTTGCCAAAAAAAAGAACTGCTCCCTCTCGACTGGTTTCAGGGAGTTGATATGGCTGAAAATGAATCACTGTTTTATACAGTGAGTTTTCAGCCAAAGCTGTGACGTGATCTGATGCATTGTGCTGGTACGTGGGGTGAGAAAGGGAAGGGATAAAGGCCGGATCGTGAATCTGTGTCCTCAGACACTGACAGTGTCCATGATTTCATTTGTTCTTTTGCTGAAGCACATTATTGATGTGGCTTTTAGTGTTCTCGGTAGATCTTACAATTATTGTAAGATGTTGAAAGAGGCCTGTTGCATCTGGAGGCGTGCGGAGTTGGTATTCTGTGGATCATTCTGGACTCGGTGACTACTGAATGACAGCTTGTGTTTACAGAGACTGACTCAGTGACCCAGATGGTCTCTCCCAGTCTTGTGTTTCTAGCAATATCCTTCCTAAGAGCACCCTACTATTAAAACTGTTGAGAACTAATTTTTCTTTATTCTGTATTTTACTTTAGCCAGTTTCTAATGTGTTGGATTTGCTACTTGGTTGAACAGCAGAGTGAGAGAGAGCTTTTGCTGTTAGCTGTGCTGAAGATTTTCCCCAAATCCAGCCATTAGAGACCAGCTGCAGACAAAACAAGACAGGTATTTGATTTTTTCAACAATGTTACATTTTGAGCTCCTGTCTGCAGTAATTAAATAGCATCATTGCTCAGCTGACTCCCTGCGGGACTGCAGCATCATTAGTGTAAAGCCAGGCAGGGAGCAGGCACTCCCAAACCCCCGAGCAGGCTACTGCAGCAACTGTTGGCATCTACAGAGCCTTTCAAGAACATTTCAAGTGACACTGGTGGAAAAGATTCACTTTCTTCTCTGTCTGAGGGGCTTGCCCAGATTCAGTTAGGCTGATGGGAGGGATCAGGCAAATCTACTTCCTGGGCAAGATTTTGTCAAAGGCTATCTAAAACCCGAAGGGTTGCTCTCAGCTAGTTGATCTTCATTTTGCTGATATGCAGAGAGAATTGTAGAAGACTTGAGAGACATCAGGGTACAAATCAATATGGATGTACAGTACTGGGGCTGCTGTGCCAAAAGCTAGCCCAGAACCAAAAATCTGTCAGGTAAAAATCAAACCTAAGTCCAGTAGAGAGACAACTGAATCCAGACAGGCCAAAATGAAAGCGCTGGCACGAAATGAAACAACTTCCTTCAGGTGCAGAAAAACAGCAGACACTGAGAGTATTTACAAGTCACTTTTATGAAATATTCTTTGTTGGCCTGGGATGCAGTGTAATATAGTTTAATCTCGTCTCTCATCCCCCATGCCTGTTTCAGAAGAGAACAAGAAATTTAATCCAAACAAAGGATTAAGAAACTTCAATAACTGGACTACTGCCATTATCCAGACAATGAGCCAGCTCTTTAAATGCTTGTTCTTGATTGAATTGAAGTGAATGACTACATCAGAGGAAGCAGAATTGGAATGCAGAAAAGAGGAAATGAGAAGTCTAGAAGAGCTACACAATTATTTTCCCTTTTATGCACTTGCAGCAATGCATCCCATAAACAAAGCAACTCTGAGAACGGATCTCTCCTCACTGGAGAATAAGGTTAGGGGCAACTTCTGTGAGATGGACAGAGGAAAGAGATGTGAGATTTAATATAGATAAATGTAAGGTAATACACCTGGGAAGAAATAACAATAATTGTATATACAAAATCCAGAGCTGCTGTTTAGAAAACAGTAATAGAGAAGAAGGCCTGGGAGCAATGGTTTATAATTAATTACTGCAGACAGGAACTCAGAATCTAACACAGGTACAAAAATCAAATATGTTCGGATTCTCGGCCAGCACCAGAGTTTTGTTTCTACAGGAAGTGCTTGGAGATCATTTACACGAACAAGAAGGGGCTGGCAACAACACAAGCAAAATATTAAACTTATGGATACCACGTTATTCATTTCATTTATAAGCTATAGCCTTGACTGCTGATGCCATAAGCACAAGCTTGTATTTGTTTATCTGCTGAATACAGTAAAACAATAAAATAAATGATCTCCAAGATGGGAACTCCTGATGAGTTTGTAGAAGGGTACTTTCTCTTTTCTTGTCCTCCTATTTAAATGCAGAACAGTGGCTTAAAAGTGTTCAAATTTAATCTATTCAAAACTGAGGAAATAAACCCCTTTCTTAAAGAAAAACACTACAGCTGAAAACAGTATAAAGAGAATTAAGACAATGTAACCATTGCATAATTCAGTACGAAGGAATCTATTGGTAAGAAATGAATGCCAAATGTAGACCTATGCTTTTATTAAGGTAAGAAGAGTTGCTCAATAAATGCATATAGCAGATAATGAACAAAGATATCAAAACTATCTGTGTTCCACCAAAGACCAGATGAAACATTACTATGCTGAGAAGACAGTGTCATGTGAAAGCCTGCCAGACAACGCAGACGGAGTGTCATAAAGAACTGTCTAATTGCAAGACCTGATGGCTGTGTATTTAGAAGTTCATAGACTTGTAGATCAGAAAGAAACACAAATTGATTCTAGTCCTAGAAAAGGAAAGGGGGGAAAACCCTATCCCATGCAGAATATTAAAGATTTACAGGTCTATTTCATCTTGTTAGTGTTGTGAGCTAGTAGCACAGGCTGATCCTGTCTTTGATTCCCTACAGGCCATGCTGGCAAGGTGGCACATCTCCCCACTATAAGGCAGCCTTGGGGTGGTACCATTTCTTCCCAGGCTGGATACAGCTTGGGCTCAAACCACCAGGCTATGTGCAGGCACAGAAGCAGGCATTGGTTATACGAGGGCAGCTTCTTCTCCTCCTGGGAAAAGGGTGATGGACCATTTCTTAGAGCTCTATACCTCAAAAAGCATTTGTTTTGGTAAGAGCAAAACTGAGTAACTGTTTTTTAAAAGCAGCAAAAAATATGGCAAGACTATGTAAAAGCCTTCAAAACTGAAATTTCATCTTCCATCTGAGAAGGCAGATAAAGCTGCGTAATTAGTCAGGGAAGTGTCACTCCCCTTGTCCCCACAACCTCCAGAGGATAAACTCCAGATTAGCTTCTCAGAGACTGCAGAGGGTTTTAGTCTGTGAAAAGAGGTTTGGAGCACATGATAATTAGCAGCTCACAGCTGAATTTTGCTTGCTGTCAGAGTATTCGTTGCTAACACTGCATGAAAATACTCCTGTAGGTCTTCCGATTCTCCCTAAATGTGTGCTGTAGTCTGATTTGTCCACATGGAACTTTTTAATATAGAATTTGGCCAGTGTACAGCACTTAAAGGCTTATGGCAAATCCCTTTTCCCTGGCAGAACAACCCCTGGATAGAAGGAGAAAATGAAGGGTTTTTTTCTTGGACAAAGCAGGAACTGCTTTGCAGTTTATGCTACACCCAGTCCCTTACAATTCAGGGGAATTCATTGCGCTGGGAGAATCCATGGGTAGCCTGCTAATCCAAATCCACATCTTCTTTGTATCAACAAACCAGTGCTCGGGAGTTCTGGCAGGAGACAGGCCTCTTCTTAAGATTCATCCTTCATCTCTGCTTGCTCACAGTTTTTAAGTCCCAGTTGGGAGAAAGACAGTAACTATAATGCAATTGCTTTAAACTTAATTGAGGTTCACCTCTGTTTTAAGAAAGCAAATACCAGGAACTGTCCTATTTACCTGAAGTTCAGCATGTGCTTAAGTGTTTCAGGACTGACACCGTTTCTGAGTTACAGTCTTCATTACTGCTGCTTTCCAGACTGCAGTGTCAGCTTTGTATGATTTTCTTACAAAATATTTGTAACCTTTAGTTACAGAACACTTAATGGTAGGATGCACTTGTGCTGGCTCTTGTCTCCTCCAAACCAGCTGTTCAAGTTGTTAATCTGCAGGCTCTAGTCTGTTTTCAACATCTGATTTCTGTCCGGTTGCTGCTTTTTATCTTTTTCAGGTATGTCTGTCTTACCCTCTCAACTCCCATGGCCTCCTGCCTCTCTCCCTCCAGAACAACCTGCTGGG